TCCATCTATCTGTTCATTTATCAGTCTATCAATCGATCAAAGTAAGTTGTTAAAATGAACCTAAGTACAGAAAATTAGGCTGAAATGTATCTTAAACACTGACAGGACGATTACACTTGAGCAAACATGTACAGTGGAACCTATTCAATCCTCAACTCACTTTTCTTGTTGCTCTTCAACCCTCACCTTACAGAAAATAAATACAAATAAAAGATACTCTTACAAAGCAACTGGCCAACAGTATGTAATCTAAACTAAAGTATGCATGGTGAGCAGACATTATATGCTTTACCTATGTTTTCCTTTAACTTCATGCACCAGCAGGTGGCAGCAGATAGTAATCAACATCTTTCAGTGACTTACTGAGGCTCCAATGCACAAGATCTGAGGGTAGTGATAACGAGTTATAAAGTAAATTGGACACATTAGGTTGAGTGGAAATGAAATATTTCCAGAAGAAACAGCGCTGTGATTTTCCTCTTTCCTCCTGCGCTCACTGATGTAGCGTGTCTACATGTATCAACAAAGGCATGTTTACAGACCCTGCAGGCATTAAGTAAGTATCAGGGCCGTGACCTCATTTGCTTGTAGTATTAGCCACTGAGATTAAGTGTGGAGAAATAACCCTCAGCATCTTTGTCTAATCATGACAACAGTGCCTGTAATCTTCATCTTTAACAGCTGACCACTGACTCCAGAGCAGCCGCAGCAGCAGGTAACAATACCAGTGTCAGATCTGAGGCAGGAGGCTGCAGATTACGCTGAGCTGCAGATGGATGGTGGAGATGGTGGAGGGCTACGCTCAGTGTTCGGTGCCAAAGGCCAGAGGTAGCTCATGCCAGAAAGGGCAGTTTTCCGCCTGGCTACACAGCGGCGGGCTGCTTGTCACCTCGGTGCACAGGAGGAGAAACCGGATGCCTTTCCTCCCTGTCAGCCATCGCCTTTTCTATCTCAGTCAAGTCTCCTGACTTTATGTCAACCTGCAGCGCCCGAGTGCTCATCTGAGCTTTGATCCCTGAGGAGATCAGTCTGTGCTCGAGAGACCGAGACACACATTCATCTGTTTCTGGTGAAAAAGCAAAGCCTGACAGGAATCACTGCTGAGCGACTGCATGGTACAGAGAACGTATTAAAGTACATATATTGGTTAAGTGTTACCTTCATCTTAAGATGCTACCTTAGCAGCAGAAATGAAAAGTTTCTCCAGTGAGGAGTTGGAAGGGCTACTGAAGGTCATTTACTCAAACAACAGCAAGAAATTTAATTATTTGACTGCAGGTAAACATTAAGATCAAGGTGTGTATTCACAGAAATTATTTCTGAAACCTGCTCATGTGGGCGGAGATTTAAAAAATTAAGATTTAAACTGGTCCACTTTGTTCAAATTCCCATTCAAAGAACCAGGGCTGTGTGCAAACATTGGATTTTTTAGCGCACACACACACACACAGAACAGACAGCTCTCAACAACATATTCACTAAAATGATCAAAACTGTATTGGATTAGTATCACCTACTCTACCTTCAATAATGGTGTATTTTTGGCATTCTCCAACTGGCTCTAAAATGTTTAGATAAGTGAAAGTGGTACAGAAATATAACTGAAGCCAGATAAGCTTTAAATGACAGCAGTAATAGTCATTATAAGTCAGAAATGCATGTGAGAATTGCTGCTACTCCAGAGCGCCCAAGGGCCCGGTCTAGATCGACAGCCCCGGGGCCCCCTAAAGAGAAAAAGAGGATCAGTAAAAGAGCTTAACCATTCATGTCTGAGTGGTTAAGTGGATTTTGACAAGTCCCAAACGAGGGTTTGACGAGAGGGGTCACACTTTGACATGCACACTGTCAGTCACAGATGCACAGATGGCATAGAGAATACCTGGTATGGTTTGAACTGCATTAGCAAGGTCCGAAACACACAGCTCTGCTCCCACTTTTCCTGCTGTCAGTCGCTGAGAAAATATTTCTCACTGCTGACAGAGACAAAATACCAGCTCTACTGCATGCAGGACATTTCTCTAACATAGAATAGTAGACTGACTAAACTGCAATGACTGCAAAACAGGTTTTTCATACTGCAAGACGGCACACAAATGATAGTCATTTGATGCAAAAAATGTGCACCACAATGTGACAGATTTAAAACAGCACTGTTATCTACTGGCATGCAGAACAATATGAAGGTAAAGCCGCTGAGAGAAATCGGCCACAGATTCAGATTAGAAAAAAGAACAGGAGTGAAACTCTAAAGAAGATTAAGTGGGCAGACAGGAGGCACAAAACAAACTTTTTGTCTACGGCACTAAATCTTGCAAATCCAATGGGGATTTTAAACATTAGCTGAAACACACACAGGGCACATTTAGATGCAGCAAACCACAGTCTCCAAAACGCGCTCGGCTACAAAATGCAGCACAATACGCATTTTGAAATATGTATAATCTCTCATTTAAAAAGCAGCCCGTGGATTGTTCTGGAGCTCAACTTGTTTTGAAGCAGCTCCTGGATTGTCCCTAGTCCTTGGAGCATGTTTAATTTAAAGATCAAATTGTGAATCATCTCCTTTAAATTTCAGTTAAATCCCCTTTGGATGGCAGTGTTTGCAGTCTGGGGCGGCGTATGGATTGTCCCCATTCCATGAAGCATGTTTAATTCAGTGGTGCTGAAAACAAATACGGAGACCTTCCCCTTTAAATTCAACTCGATTCACACCTCCAAACAGCATGTGTATTCCTCAGTTGGAAAAGGCTCTGTGAATGGTTCAGGGTTTACGGTGAAGCAGCCTGTGGATTGTTCATAATCCTTGAACCATGTTTAATTTAGAGGTGCTGAAATCACTTCATCTGCCCCTCACCCCACTGCTCAGGCAATTACCCCTGGGTGACTGTGCTGCGAACCCCTCAGACACGACCGCCAGCGTCTCCGGCTGCATCAGCAGCAGCAGCGTGGCAGCTCGGCTCGCCTCTCACAAGACCGCAACATCCACCGATCCTCCTGTGAGACGCCGCGCCGGAGTCAAGGGCAGCTGTCAATCATGAAATGTAAGATCATGAGGCCCCCAGAGTGAGGTCATTCTACATGGTGTGAAAAACAAGTGGATCGGCCCAATCAGGAAAGAAAACACCCTCTGGCCATTTCTCTTTTGAACCACTTCATGGGAAAAACATGCAGAGGAGAAATACACGACTTTAAAAGCAGCAAGGCAAGACCTGAGAGGTGATGAACGTAATGTAAATAAACGTTGGCCATGATTGTGGAGACTCCCCATGTCCCCTTTGACAAGTGGAGACATCCCAACGGAGCTGCCAACAACAGCTCCTGTCCAACTTGATTTGCCTCTTCCTCTAAATCCCCTCTGTCATCCCGAGAGCATCCACCTTACAGCCATTACATCCATTAATGGATGCTAACCGCAGCTAGCCAAGCATGTTCTGACATCATGAGAATTGCATGAAGATCTATAGAGAGCCTGAAGACTGGTTAGAAAATAGTTCAGCATTCACGAGTTGTCTCGCTTTCAGTGTTTGACATCTTTTCAATGACAGATGAGATCGTATATGTGGTTATCGTACTGTAGCTATTAAACCTTTATTTCCTAGCCTCAAGCATTCCTGACAACACTACATATGCTGCAAAATCCACTACAGTGTTCATATATATTTAATTCTGCCGCTGCTGTATACATTTTTCTTGCTTATTTATTTTTTTGCTGTAAAATGAACGGGAGTTGGTAAAAGCAAACCTCTGCGTGACACAATGCTTGAAATGTCAAGAACCTATAGATTAAATATGTATAACCACTCATTGGAATTGATTTCTTGCTCAATATCTGGCCCATTCTTGAAGCCGACATCTCGAAAAGTGTTTAAAGATTCTTACAGTTTTCAGTCAATGTACCTTATTAAAGTTTCATGGAAATTAGAAATAGCGCTCGCTTAATAGTAAAATACCATAGAGGCTGTTATACATTATGTTATACTTGTACTGTATATAACAGATGCACAGGCATGGGCTGTCAACACACAATATGCCTGTTCAGTGGTTCTGGGTTTTACCAAACCCTGG